CAAATTTAGCCCACATTAATCATTACCAGATAGGGGAATGCCAAAATTAACCTTATGTGCAAATTCTCAACTTAGAAATATGTGCTAAAGTGCAGTGCCTTGTTAAATCATTTACTTGCTTTTCAGAAGAAACTGCAATGGACGTTCTTCTTTCTAGACAAGCATTTACACAGTTTTCCAGAAAGCCGTTGTCATCACTTCTTCACACAGACACATTTTTTCCGATGTATTTTTTAAAAATTGACAGATAAAACTATATGAATTTCTCATGTATAACATATTTTGAAGTGTATATATTGTGAAATGGCAAAATCTATCTAATTAATATATATATTACTTCACAGTTATTTTTGTGGTGAGAATACTTATATATTCAGTTTCTCATTATTTCTCAAGAATATGATATGTCATCAACTATGGTCACCATGCCGTACAAGAGATCTTTTGAACTTAACCCTTCTATAGAACTATAATTTTTTGTATCCTTTGAGTATGCTGATCAAAGGACATTCTTTTAATTTACATCTAAACAACACGAGCATGGAGTCAAAGAGAAAACCTAAAGAGAGAAGAACTTTATAAGGGGAAACATTTAAAAAACCTAAGTTAGGGATCAGCAAACTTTTTTTATACAGGGCCAGAGAGTTAGCATTTTAGACTTTGCAAGTCATAGAAACTCTGTTGCAACCCTGTTAGCGTAGCAGGAAAGTAATCATAGACAATATGCAAACAAATGACTGTGTCTGTGCTCCTACTAAAGTTGACAAAAACAGGGAGGGGGCCAATATGGTCCTGGGCTGTGGTTTGCCTACCCTTAACCTAAGTCAAAAAGCAGATGCAATAAATGGAATAGGCATCATAATAATGACAACTGTATGCCACGTGCTTTCCAGACATAGCCTCTAACCTGCCAACAACACTGCACATTAAGTATTCTCATCATCTAGATATGATAATATCTTTAAAAAATCTTTAAATTTTTTTGTTCTTTATCATAATCTACATTTTCCAAATAAGAAAACTGAGTTTTAGATATGATAAATACCCTTCCAAGGTCACACAGCTACTAAGTACGTACAGGCAAGATTCAAGCCCAAGTTTATAAACTCCAAAGTATGTGTTCTGTTCTTAGAACATATCACACTATTGTACAGTGAGCAGTTAATATCGTGCAGTCATAATAACAAGCAATTAGTCCTTCCAGGAAAAGGGCATCAGCCCTGATTCCATGTAGTAACAACAGCACTTGCCAAATAAAATAATGAAGGTGCAATGAAGAGCAGAAAGAAAGGCTCCAGGGGAAAGCCAGCACTCACCCCAATTTGTCCCAATTTTGTATCAATGCTCATATATCTTCGAGGAATACAATTGATTTTGTATAGCCCATGATGGTGGAAAGCAGTCCAATCCCATTGCCACCATTTGTGTGTGGCCACAAGAAATTTTTGCGTCCATCTCAATCCAGCCTCTTTGGGTGTCTTAAAAAAACCCTCTGGGTTTTTTTGTTGTGTGTGTGTGTGTTTCGAGATGGTGTCTTGCTCTGTCGCCAGGCTGGAGTGCAGTGGCACAGTCTCAGCTCACTACAACCTTGGCCTCCTGAGTTTAAGTAATTCTCCTGCCTCAGCCTCCCTAGTAGCTGGGACTACAGGCATGCACCACCACGCCCAGCTAACTTTTGTATTTTTACTAGAGACAGGGTTTCACCATGTTGGCCAGGCTGGTCTCGATTTCCTGACCTCGTGATCTGCTCCTCTCGGCCTCCCAAAGTTCTGGGATTATAGGCGTGAGGCACCATACCCGGCCTTCTCTGGTTTTTTATTCTAACCATATGAACATTTTCCTAAACCATGCCTCTGCTATAGCCTGGCATCACCTCATCTTTAATATTGCAACCATCTTCCACAGGGTTATTTAATATTACAGGCTGAACGTGGCAGCTCATGCCTGTAATCCCAGCACTTTGGGAGGCTGAGGTGGGTGGATCACCTGAGGTTAGATGTTTGAGACCAGCCTGACCAATATGGTGAAACCTTGTCTCTACTAAAAATACAAAAGTTAGCTGGGTGTGGTGGCATGAGCCTGTAATCCCAGCTACTCAGGAGGCTGAGACAGGAGAATTGCTTGAATCCAGGAGGCAGAGGTTCAGTGAGCCATGATCACAACACTGCACTCCAGCCTGGGTGACAGAACAAGACTCCATCTCAAAAACTAATAATAATAATAATACAGATCCCCTGTTTAAATACAAACCAGTTCCCATCACCTCAGGGATAAAGTCCATACAGTATAGGCCTGTGATTGGTGCTCCTTGTCTGTCTTCCTAATCTCATCTCTGCCTGTTCCCCACAGGACCCAGGACCCCAGTCATGCTGATCCCTTCCCAGTTCACCTGAGCCCATGCCTAGCCCAGGGATTTGTGCATTTTTGTCTTCTGTCCTGACAGTTCTGGTTCCCTGTCCATCCTCTGGTCCACCACCCATAACCTTCAAGTCTCATCTCATATGTTAACATTTCAGAACCCTTGGCCATCTATTCAGAATCCTTGTATCTGAGTTAGAAAAATATTCTAGGTTCTTCTCTCCCCTACCTCAACGTGTTCATCAGGATTGCATGAAACTTTAATAAAACAGAAAAGATAAATCACTGGAATAGCCTTTGGAAAGAAGGAAAAATTGACATGAGCAAAAGGAAAACAAGATTGAGGCTTGGTGGAGAGTGTGGGAATTTTGGATGATGAGGCAAAACAGATCCTGCCTCTTGAAGAACATTTTGGAGGTGTGCGAACTAAGACACCCAAAGAGGCTGGATTGAGATGGACGCAAAAATTTCTTGTGGCCACACACAAATGGTGGCAATGGGATTGGACTGCTTTCCACCATCATGGGCTATAACATCTTGGAATTATAGACAAGAAAACATCTGTTATCTGCCGTTTCATGGAAGATCTTGAACCTAGCTCGCTGGGGTGCAGTCTGCTTTCTACCTGTCAACATGTCTGCTTATATAGAAATAACTTTTAACAGTTTTGAAATAGTACATCTAAAGACACATCTTAGTTTAGTAAATCATTTCTCTTGACGGGCACTGAGGTTTGTCTTGCTTTTCCACTATGTGTAATTATTGCTGCCTCTGTGAGTATTTCCAGAGGCCAGATTTGGAGCAGCAGAATTACCGTATCAAAGCTATTGCCAAATTTCCTTTCAAGTAGCTTGGATCAATTTATTCTCTCACCAACAACGCTTGAGATTTTCATTGACATTTGTTAGCACATTATTATTTTTTTAATTTTCCAGTTAAATGAGCCAATTTATGTTTGTCCTCAAATTAGAAAGTGAACTATCTCTTTAAGATTATATGTAGGTCACTTGTTATTTTTTAATACCTTCAAAACTCAAAAACCTGTATTTCGTTTCTTCACCTCTATATTATATTACCCTATAATATAAATTCTAAATCCCATAATTCCAATCTAAACTTTTTAAGACCTTATTTATTTGGGGGCCTTGCAGATAAACTGCTGAAAAATGATCACTGAAAAACCTGAATTTTTTTGTACATGATTTAATTATGATAATGTAACCAAATCTGTATTACATGTTCTATTTTTTTTTTCAGTGAATGATGCAAGAACTTTATCTAAAACGAAAGGCCTACCTGTATAAAATAGCATATGCAGTTTCTTTACTCTTATCTTTAAAAATACCTGTTCTTTAGAGCTGAAAATAATCACTTACTCACATACCTTAGGTTATCTCCGTATTATTTCAACTTGTATTGAATTGATTGATGAATGCTCTAAGATATTGCTCAATAATATTTCAATTTCTGTTACGAATCATATAATTTGGGATTATCTATTCTTCTATCAAATATGAAGTGGTTCTTACTTAACAAATTAATTTCTGAAAGTGTAACTTGATGGCTAACACAATCATTAATTAAAATCCTCTTTTCTTCATATTAATATTACCAAGTAAATAAATAATTTTGTGTTTGGTTTTGCCTCGACTTTATGACCAAAGTTAATGGCTACTTCCAAAGACTATCTGGAGTGTGAATTTTCTTACTTCAGAAGATGTGAACTTCCATGCAGAAATATTAGTAAATATATTTTTGTCATAGTTTGGATTTTTCTTCATACTCCTTGATATATTACAAATTGAAAAATTAAACCTTATGGATACTTTTTTAATTACTTTCGACGTATTTTGATGCAAAATGAGAGGACTGAAAAAATAAGAAATCTATCATAGTAGTATTATATTGATATTAAATTTCCTTGGTGTTATAATTGTTAATTATGTTAATTTTGCCAATTATCATTACTGTTTTCTTAATTGTAGGCATGACAACTGCAAATTCAATGCAAGATTCTTGATTGGATTCTGGATTAAAAAATAAAAAAGCTCTAAAGGACTTGTGGATAATTGGGAAAATTTGAATGTGCGTCTCATATTAGATAATAGTATTGTGTCAATGTTATGTTTCTGTGGTGTTGTAATTGTGTTACAGAAGACTGCCCTTATTTTTAGGAGACACATGCTCAAGAATTTAGGGTGACATGTGTCCTAAAGTCAGCAACATACTTTCAACACATTCAGGGAAAAAAACTGTGCATAAAACTGTGCATATGTGTATGTGTGTGTGATTATATATATATGGAAAGAGACAGGCAGAGAAGGACAAAGCAAGAGAGAAAGTAAGTGCAGCAAAATGATACAACTGATTAACATACATGATGGAAAAATGCATGTTCGTTGTACTATTCTTTCAATTTTTATATAGATTTGAAACATTAGTTCTAAAGAAAAATTGGGAGGGGAAATAACCATATTTAGTTAATGAAGGCATATTTCCATTGCATAATATTTATTAAGAGCCTAGACAACATCTTATGTATCTGAAATAATCATTATATATGTGATGGTAAATGTTTAAGCGACTTGTTATAAATACTTCAACCATCACTTTGCTCTGAGATAACAGAATGAGTGTACTACCTTTCAATACCTCCAAAATTCCCCGGATGCTTGACACAGACTTCAAATACTCCTCAATCCTCCGGAAGCTTCTCAAGCTCAGAAACAATCCTCTCACACTGACCTATGGAAGAAAAGTTATAAAAATATCAACACAAATATTCTGTCCCAACCAGGTCTATATTTAAGCACAGATTCATTTGCACAAGACAAAGAATATTTGAGTGAGTCTAAAGATAATTCAAATAAAAGTCCACCCGTACACGTGCTATCTTTAATACCAAAAGGGAGGCTTTCCCCAAATCACCCAGATGAAAGTCGAAAAGCATCCTCACTATAGATAGCATTCATTTTGAATACATCCTGCCACACAGAAAAACACTATCACAAGCTTGCTGAACTGAATAATTGAGAGTCAAACCCAATTGGAAATGACTGTGATTGTGTTCATCTCTAAAACTGCGTCACCATAACTGAATTCAAGAGCTGTGTTGTCCCTGCAAAATCCTACTTAGGTTTTTAGGCCTTCTTTTAAAAATGCAGAAGCTAAACCAGTGTAGCAATCGGTGAAAGAGGACTGCAAAAATCATACAATAAATATTTGAACAGGCCAGTTAGAAACTGTAGGTAAAAAAAAATTTGTATTTTAGAAATGTTAAAATGTGGACATAAAGAGGTAAGAAAATGAAGTATTGGGCTTGATTTTTTTTTTTTCGATTCCATTAATGATTGCTTAAACTCCCACTTGCCACTGATATGGTAAGCTAGAAAAGCATTTTAGATGTCTTAAGAATGAATCTGCCCTCTGGTGATAAAGGGCTAAGAAAGCGTGGAAGACAAATGACAAGAAATAATAGCAGAGTTGTAGGGCCCTTTGCCTTCTTTTTCTTACCTTCACTAACCAATCTGCTCATTCGATCCGGCAGAAACCCCGCAATTGACCAGAGAGACGAACAAGCCAGCCAGTGCTCTTTCCGGAAATTTTCACAAGCCTTTCACAGATGAGACCAGGAGACTAAGCTGCTCATTGCAAAGCCATTCTTTTTATAACTGATCCCATGGAAAAAGAGTTGTTTTCGCTCAAGTCTGATTTGTGCTCAAGAGGCAGTGGGAAGTCCCGGGAAGTGGAGAGGCAATAACTGACAAAGCCACATCAAGCCACAGAATGGTGTTTCTTCCCCTTTTTTTGAAAAATGAAACCTATCTATGAAACTGTCTCTTATTAAAATAGTTTATGGTTACATATTTTGTTAAGAACCCTAGCAACAGAATTAAATTTTCTTTATAGAACAGTAAATTATCTGGGATCCTTTGCCCCAAAGAGAGCCAATGTCAGATATTACTTTAGAAAATTCTGTTTCATTACTAATATATAATTTTTAAGAAGTATTATTTCTCAGGCTGGGCACAGTGGCTCACGCCTGTAATCCCAGCACTTTGGGAGGCCGAGGCGGGTGGATCACGAAGTCAAGAGATCGAGACCATCTTGGTCAACATGGTGAAACCCAATCTCTACTAAAAATACAAAAACTTAACTGGGCATGGTGGCGTGTTCCTGTAATCCCAGCTACTCAGGAGGCTGAGGCATGAGAATTGCCTGAACCCAGGAGGCGGAGGTTGTGGTGAGCCAAGATCGCTCCATTGCACTCCAGCCTGGGTAACAAGAGTGAAACTCCATCTCAAAAAAAAAAAAAAAAAAGAAGTATTATTTCTCAATGGTACCTATAATTTTTAAACATGTAAATGAAAAAAAGTTTTCTCTCTCCAATTACCAAAGGTCAAAACAATAATACATTGTGTGGGCAAAGTTGTGAAGAAACAAGCACTCTCAAATACTGTTGATGAGATGGCAAATATATACTTAGAGAGAAATTTCCCAGTATTTATAAAATACAAATACTCATACCCTTTGACCCAACAATTCTATTTTTATAAATGTATCCAAGCTATATATTTGCACTTGTACACAAAGACTTACATGAAAAGGTACTTGTTGCAGCATTGCTTGAGAAAGTAAATGACTAGAAAAAATTGTATCCATAAATAAGATATTGGCCAAATAAACGAGAATGTATGCACACTTAAAATCCTATGCAGGCTGGGCACGGTGGCTCACACCTGTAATCCCAGCACTTTGGGAGGCTGAAGCAAGTGGATCACTTGAGGTCAGGAGTTCGAGATCAGCCTGGCTAACATGGTGAAACACTGTTTCTACTAAAAATACAAGAATTAGCTGGGCGTGGTGGCAGGCACCTGTAATCCCAGCTACTCAGAGGCTAAGGCATAAGAATCGGTTGAACCCAGTAGGTGGAGATTGCAGTGAGCCGACATTGCAGTGAGCAGAGATCGTGCCACTGCACTCTAGCCTGGGCGACAGAACAAGACTCTGTCAAAAAAAAGTCCTATGCAGTTGTTAGAGTGAGGGGTTTTATGTCTAACAATAAGAAAAGATCTCTAACATATGTTGTTTAGCAAGAACTCACGTTCTAGTTTGTAGTTTTAAAGAATACACACACACACACACATATGTGCGTATGCTTATATAACAAAATAGTTCCTTTAAAAATTTTTTATTTTAATGTTTGTGGGTATACAGTAGGTGTATATATTTATGGAGTACATAAGATATTTTGATACATTCATATGATGCATAATAATTACATCATGAAAAATGAGGTACCTGTCCCCTCAAGCATTTATCTTGTTACAAACAATCCAATTATACTTTTAGTTATACTAAAATGTAAAATAAAGTATTATTCACTACAGTCCTCCTGTTGTGCTATTAAATACTCAGTCTTATTCATTCTTTCTATTTTTTGTACCCATTAACCATCCCTACCTCCCCCCAGCCCCCCACTACCTTTCCCAGCCTCTAGAAACCATCCTTCTACTCCCTATGTCCATGAGTTCCATTGTTTTGATTTTTAGGTCCCACAAATAAGAGAGAACATGTAATGTTTGTCTTTCTGTGCCTTGCTTATTTCACTTTAATTAATGACCTTCAGGCCAGGTGCAGTGGCTCATGCCTGTAATCCCAGCACTTTGAGAGGCCAAGGTGGGCGAATCCCCTGAGGTCAAGGTTTCAAGACTAGCCTGACTGACATGGAGAAACCCCGTCTCTACTAAAAATACAAAATTAGCTGGGCATGGGTAATCCCAGCTACTCAGGAGGCTGAGACAGGAAAATCGCATGAACCTGGGAGGTGGAGTGAGCTGAGATGGCGCCATTGTACTCCAGCCTGGGCAACAAGAGCAAACCTCTGTCTCAAAAAAAAACATATGATCTCCAGTTCCATTCATGTTGTTGCAAATGAAAGGACCTTATTCTTTTTTGTGGTTGAATAGTACTCTATTCAGTGGTATAAGTACCACATTTTCTTTATCCATTAACCTGTTGATGAACACTTTAGGTTGCTTCTAAATCTTAGCTATTGTGAACTATGCTGCAACAAACATGTGAGTGCAGATATCTCTTCGATACATTGATGTCCTTTCTTTTAGGTATATACTCAGCAATCGGATTGCTGGATGATATGGTTGCTCAACTTTTAGTTTTTTGAGGAACCTCCAAATTGTTCTCCATAGTGGTTGTACTAATTTACATTCCCACCAACAGTGTATGAGAGTTCCCTTTTCTTCATAACCTCGCCAGCATTTATTATTCCCTGTCTAGAATATTTCTTTTTCTATACAATACACAAGAAATCAGAAATAAGAAATTGTGTTTCATGGACAAGACTCATTTTTCATTCAACACCTTTTTGAAATGTATATGAGTATGTATTATTTTTTCATTTTGAAAACTAGTATTTTTAAGTCATATTTAACTTCGATCATACAGCCCAAATGTATTATAATCTATGTGTTTTCTGGAGGACAGACAAGTCTATCTGCAAATGGCTCAGTTCTTCTCGTCCAAAAGCAGAAATATTGAGGATTTCAAAATCATTTAACTGGTTTACCAGTTTGTTTTTTTTTTTTACTGCTTCAAGTTAACCAACAATGAATAACCCTGCCCAAATTTTAACTACTTCATTGTGTTTTTCTACCTAACTCCAATCAAAGATAAGTTCTATGGATACTAAAAAAAAAAACAAAGCTATGTTCTAAACCCTTAAGAGGTGAACAGTGTCACTTAATGAGTTTGATTTTGTTTACTTTTTTTCAATGACTTATCTTAAAATGCCATACATTTAAAAGTATACTAGCATTTTTATTTTTGTTAGTCTTAACAATTTTCTGCAGTTTTTTTCAGGAAACATAACTTAAATCCAGTTTAGAAGGCACGCTCTCATATATGAGCCATAATAAGGACAGTTTCTCAACTAGTCCTGAATCTGGCTTGACCTACCATCAAAAGAAACACCAGACTCATTGTCCCATGGGCAGATTCAGTTACAATGTAATCTTACAAAATCAGGTTCAAGAATGACCTCAGACATTTGTAGCTCATCAGGAATTTAGCTGTGACCAGGAGAACATAGCATCTTTAGGGCCAAACATTGACTAATTTCACTTTAGCGTAGCTTCAACCACATGATATAACACATGATATACTTCAACCATGAGATACCATAGAGTAGGTCTTAACTACCTCCAGAAACACTTTACGGTGGATTACCAAGAACTCATCTGGAAGTACAATGAAATAACCATTGTGGGGTGATTCCATCTTCCTCAGGTTGTCTTAAGTCGCACTTACTGTTTTATTCAAATACAATATGCAGAATTTTGATTAGGCCCACTCTTGATTTTGTCTTAAGTTTCTCCTTTGATGGAAAACCCTTCTTTGCAGAAAAACAAAATTCTATAATGAAAAAGTAGGCACTATGTCAAGCTAGCCTACTATTTCTACTATTTTTCATTTGGTAAAACCTGATCATATAAAATCAGCTTTAAACTGGCTACAATAAAATAGAATTCCATCCCTTGTAGCTGAAATCTTGTACTTTTCTATTACTCTGCTGAATAGTAGGTAAAAGTTATTGCCTCGATATCGGTGCCTCTAAAATGGGCATTATTCCTATTATTTGATTACTTTTCCTGCTGTACAAAACATCCTCCAAGTTATTTCCATTATAATAGCATCCCTCCTAGCTCACCCTCAATCCTCACCAGGTTTTCTCCACCCTGGCTACCCTCTATTCGCCTCTTAAGTGCTCCTAGTAGCACTGTAAATTCCTGAACAGTATGTTTTTCTGTCATAGCCTACTTGCCAATTTCCAGTCCCGTATAAAATCCATTATTGCCTTTCCATAAATAGAGAAAGGTATATATAAGTATATATTAAATATATATGTATATAGAGAGACACACAACAGAACAATTACACATTTGTTCCAACAAACATCAACTATCTCAGGATAAATTCTTTGTCTTGTATATAGAGAGACACACAACAGAACAATTACAAATTTGTTCCAACAAACATCAACTATCTCAGGATAAATTCTTTGTCTTCCTGAAGTATCCTCTCTGACCACTCTCAATACTCCAATGACTCAACTGAACCTATTTTCTCAAAGTTGCCAAAGCTCGTTAATCATCAAGTCTAATAGCTTTATCTTTTTCAATAGTTTGTTTTTTAAAAAATTATATACATGTTTTAAAAAACTGTAAATGGTACAAAAATATAGTTTTGCATCAATTAACAACAGGAATCCATTCTGAGAAATGCAGCATTTGGTGTTTTCATTGTATGAACATCACAGAGTGTACTTAAAAAATCTAGATGGTATAGACTAGTGCACACCTAGGCTGTATGGTATAGCCCATTGCTCCTAGGCTACAAAACTATACTGCATGTGACTGTACTGAATACTGTAGGCAAATGTAACACAGTGGTAAGTATTTGTGTATCTAAACATACCTAAACATAGAAAAGGGGCCGGGCATGGTGGCTCACACCTGTAAGCACAGCACTTTGGGAGGCCGAGGTGGGCAGATGACAAGGTCAGGAGATCGAAACCATCCTGGCCAACATGGTGAAACCCTGTCTCTACTAAAAAATACAAAAAAAAAAATTAGCTGGGAGTGGTGGTGCATGCCTGTAATCTCAGCTACTCCAGAGGCTGAGGCAGGAGAATCGCTTAAACCAGGGAGTCGGAGGTTGCAGTGAGCCAAGATTGCACCACTGCACTCCAACCTGCA